TACATATATAATGATCAGTTTAGTGGAAGAAAAATAGTTTTCGCCATATTTAGACTCAAGTGCAGATTAAAACTCACCCATTTTTGGTTCTTGAATACTTTGTTGTTGTTCCTCGCTGCCTGTCCAGGTTTCAATGGGCCGATTAAAACCATGAGCAGCGGAGGCAGATGATGGATCGTTACGGTTTGCAAATGTTCTTGGACCAAGACCTCGGCCCCCGCTACGACATCCGCGACCTGATCTTCCGGATCCACCCCTGCCTCTTCTGCTATAGCTGCCATCACGCATACCATCTTCCATGTTCCTTTCGTTCTCCTTATTTTCTCGTCCGCGCCCTACCCAAACAATTTTACAATTCATAAAATAACAAAGTAGGATTCTTTGTAATCTTGTTGCACAATAAGAATCAACCAAGAGAAAAAGATCTTAGATTGTATATATCTATTCCTAAGTGGCTCAAATAATAAAATTGAATTAAAAAAAAATGTAAACTAACATCCACGATTGTCATGATTAACGCGGCCGCGCATACGCGGAGGACCACCGCCACGTTGGTTACGTCGTTCCTCCCAATCGCCATTGTCGTCCTGTCCGCCCGACTGATCTGTGGTCTGCTTAGAACCGCTAGGCTGACGAGGCTTCTTCTTTTTAACCTCCCATTCTGTTTTCACTCCTTCCAGAAGATCGTTAACAGCGCGGTCCAAATCTCCGTCACTATCGTGCAGAGCCATGATCACTTCATCTTCCGAACGTCGAGTCATATCCATGACCTGTTTAATGCGCTCCTTCAGAACAGGGTCCTCACCTCCCGCCATTCTGGTATCGATGATTTGCGCGTTGCGCATTTGATTTGTGTTTTGCTATATAACAATCGTTACAATTTTCTTTAGAACATTTGACATTACAATGTTATTTTATATATATGTATATATGTATTTTTTATACATCTTATTTATGTTTTAGCCTCATAGATAAAATTAATACTTCGTCAGAAGTAAAATAGTAATCTATCATGTTAAAAATATGTATTTACTTATAGGAATTAATATTTGTATTTTTATTATAGATTTACATTACAATAATGTAATGAGATGACATGATTATGTAAAAACAATTGACTTATAATTGGTAATCTCAGACATCCCATGTATGTTTTATTTTATAAGTAATATTACTTGGTTAAAAGTTTTTAAGAGAATATACAATATTGTAGTATGAGACTGTAATCCATTTTGGGAATGTATTTATCAAACTAATATGTCAATATAAAAACAAATTTGTTTTAGACCAACCTGAGCCTTGTCATGCTTGGTCGAATCTGATGATTTAGTTTGATGATGATGATCAGATTTGCCATGTTGTTGTGATTTATTTTTATTGGTGCCTCTTCCACCAGAGGACACCAAGGATTTGTTGCTTGAACTCATTGCCAACTAAAATCCCACGTACCTAAGCACTCACCGTATCACACTATATACACTCCCTATTTACAGTCTGAAACAGAATACATTTGCTGTTATAATGCGATAGTTTATTATTTATACAAATCAAATTATGATTGATTTCCGATAATGCAAATCATGTGGTCATATAGTATACTTTTAGAAGCGTTATTAATAAGTCTGGATCTACAATAGGTGTTTTAAGCCTTAAGCAATAAGAAATTGACCAACTACAGTCGAATGCAAGAATAACTGATCGTGATTCATCTATTCCTTATGGCTTAAGGCTTCAAAATCTATTGTAGATCCGAGCTAAAGACACAAAGACCACAGAAATGTTACAATCTGATTATACAGCAAGCACCTTGCTACGCAAAGCAATTATTATAACTTTTTAAGAACAAACAGTACCAAAAATTGAATTATATTTACAAATATTCTAAAAATAATGTTTAAATCCCCAACCTATATATTAACTACTCCTGTATTTTCCTTACTATAATTCTGTGACTCGAATTAATTAAATATCTATACAAATATCATTCTATATAAATCTCATACATCGTTATCATAAAATCTGTATGTAAAATATAGAAAAGTTAGTTTCTCTTTAGACTTATGAATTAATCCAAATTCATCTTGTGAAAACAAAGCCAGTGTAAGATCTTCATATCACTACTGATATATTTGAAGATGAACAACAAAGCTTTGCAAAATAAATCTAAACTTGTGTTAAATTAAAACTGATCAAACTGCTACTAAAGTTTTGCCGATTGCCACTTCCAAGGAATTAGATACAAAAATTTTGGTGGACAGAGATAAATTACGCTTGTAGAATACGTACTAATGAGAAAGCACCAGATTAGGGGCATCCGATAACAATAAACGGAAGATGTGGGATCCGCCTCAGGGAAAATGACGAAAGTTGAACGAATATTAACACTTATCACCTCGACGATTTATGGCGATAACGAGAAAATCGCGTCGCTCACGATGACGTTACGTGGTGGAGTACACGCGTATAAAAGTTTCACGGGACGTCTGGCGAGCCACGTCAAGAGGATCGCGTGCTTTTGCGACGCGTGTCTTGAACGCAAACGCGTCAGGATACCCAACGGCGAGGCGAGGCTCGGCGGGAAACGCACTATACGTCGGTCGCGGAATTTTCCGTCGGAATTTTCACGGAGGAGTCTCTTATTCCGTCGCGCGGCGGAGTTTCGGTAAAAGAATAAAAAGAAAAGGAACGGAAAACACCCCGTCGGGCGCGTCGTCAACCGCTCGCACGCCGTTGCACGCCGCGAAACGCCGTGCGTAGAAATGAAATAAAGAGAGGGAGGAGGAGAGAGAGAGGAGAGGAAAGAAGAGAGGAGAGGAGAGGACAGAGAGAGAAAGAAAACGAGGCGGTACGGAAGGATAGCAGGCTCACGCCAAGCCAAGAGGCGACACGCGCACAAAGAAGCTTCTGGTAACAACGCGCGATTACTCTCGTGGAAGAGAATATTTTTCAACGGGCCATGTGCACGGTGGACGCCATTTCTGCTATGCGAGAGGAAGGCTTGTCAAGCATCGCCGCGACGGTGCATCAATGGATCCCGACGGAGTCTCTCGGAATGGCCGAGAGGCGAAAGAATCTTTGCGTCTAACTCACGGCTGTCGTGGACGTCGTGCGGATGCTTCGGCAGGCGCGACGGGGAGCGGAAGCGTGCGGGATTCACGGCACCTCGGCGCTTGGGGCCGCGGCGCGCGAAAAACCACGAGAAAAACAACAGATTCGCTATCGTACCTGGGTTAGTGCGCTCAAAACGCAGCTCGGTCACGTGACCGCAGGGCCCCCCTTCCCTGATGCACCAAGGCACCAACTAGTGCCCAACAGCGCAGCCAGTACCGCTTTTCATCGCTCTTTATTGGGCTCTGTGTGCGTGTGCGATGTTCCGTCAGACAGGCAATCGAAGCAAAAGTAAACTTAACTTACCTCAACGCGCCACGTTGCACCGCCTGCTGTTTGCGGAAGGACCGCTGCGCGCGATACCGGAAGTATCTATTCACATGGAAATCGAAGCAAAACGATCCCGTCCACGTTTTGCGGGGTCTACGATAGAAGTCGTAGCGGTCGTAGGATGGAATTCATAATCCGGTCTTAAGGCCATCACACAAAAATTTTAGTCGGAATCGTAAGGTCACAATCAAATCGACCAATCGCAATCAAAATTAATGCGGGGTCTACAATAGAAGTCGTAGCAATCGTAGGGTCTTAAGTCATAGAAAATTGACCAATCACTGTCGAATATGAGAAGAATAATCAACTATGATTGATCAATTTTCTACGACTTAAGACCCTACGACCGCTACGACTTCTATTGTAGACCCCGCATAAAAGCCATCACACGTACAAAAATTTTAGTCGTAATCGTAAAGCCGTAAGCAAATCGGCCAATCACAGTCAAGCATTTTAAAACGCGAGATCGTAATTTTGATTGTGATTGGTCGATTTGTTTGCGAACTTACGATTACGACTAAAATTTTTGTACGTGTGATGGCCTAATGCATGGTCTACAATGGCAGTAGCAGTAATGGATGAGACTGTAATGCGTGGTCTACAATGGGCAGTAGCAGTAGTGGATTAAGGAGTAGACGCAGAAATCAACCAATCATAATCGAATGTGAGAAAGATAATCAACTACGATTAGTCGATTTCTGCACCTACTCCTTAATTCACTACTGCTACTGCCCATTGTAGACCACGCATTAAGATTTCGCGTTTTTAAACGCTCGACTGTGATTGGCCGATTTGCTTACGGCCTTAAGCCCGTATCAGACTACCGACTCTGCAAGCCGACCCAACTGCTGTTGACCAATAATGGATCAATCACACTGGCTGCGTTCAGCAGACTCAACAGTTTTGCAACCGTTTTATGATTATCTGCTGAGATAGGACCATTCTTCTAGATCTAAAAGTATGATCCAATCAGCGCGAAGGAAACTTCCAACAGTTGTAAAACAAACGTTCTGCTGAACGCAGCCATTGAATCAGTCATATTGTGATTGGTCCATTATTGATCGGCAGTCAGAGTTGGCAGTCGGGTCGGCCGGGAATAATTGACTGTGATTCGTCTATTTCTTATGGCTTAAGGCTTAAAACCCTATTGTAGATCCGGGGTTATGCTTCGGTCTTATGCCTAATTCACACTGGACGCAGCAAGGGTCAAGCAGCGGAGCAGCAACCAATCAGTGAGGCGATATTTATAGTGGCGTAGACAATATTGCCTTTCTAGTTGGTTGTTGATCCACTGCTGGACGCTTGCTGTGTCCGGTGTGAATTAAGCATTAGTTCTAAAATCATAAAATTCAGCCAATGGAATACAGTTAGGACCAATTAAAACTGACAGCTCTATAGGGGAATACTGAATGATCCAATTAGCGTGAAGGAAACTTCCAACAGTTGCAAAACAAACGTTCTGCTGAACGCAGCCATCGATAGTAAAAGGAAACTATCGAGATATCGAATTAAGATTAAGCCTATCGATTTATCGATAGTCGCTATCGATAATTTTCCACCTCTAGTTGTCAAGGTTAGCATGGTTTGGCAAGATTTCGAATCGTAAAATATTATCGCAATCCGTTTATGATCAAAGAAATTTGAGCGATTTCCTCGCCCCGGCATCCAAGTTGAATTTATAATTCGCTGTATCGAGACACGACTCGCGCATATTTACAATGAACAGGTGTTGTTTGTGAGATAACCTAAAAAACCGATCTTTGTCCACAGGATGACTCCGAGATACGAATTGGCCGTCGGCCTCAATAAGGGCCACAAAACGACGAAGATTCGAGTGTCTAAAATCAAAAATATACCCACGAAGGAAAGGACCAAGACCGTATGCGTACGACCGTCCAGGATAAAAGGGGTAAGTGGAAAGTGTATAATCCACAATTCTTTTAATTGCCGCGTTCAGTAGAATATTTATTTTGCAACTATTGAAAGTTTTCTTTGCTGAGGACTCTCTAAAAGTATAACCAACGACGCTAAGAAAACTTTCAATAGTTACAAACATTCTGTTGAATATAGTCATCATTATTACGTATACAGCGTATTGAGCTGATACATCATAATTTATTACAAGAAGCTTATTTATCTTCTCTTTCTCTCGTGTTATTATTCACGTGTTATTATTCATCCTCGATTTCTCATTGCAGAGACAAACCAAGCACAGCAAGTTCGTAAGGGATCTGATCCGGGAAGTCACAGGACATGCCCCTTATGAGAAGCGCGCTATGGAATTGCTGAAGGTGTCGAAGGACAAACGCGCCTTGAAATTCTTGAAGAGAAGGGTAAACATTTTTTCTCGCAAGTTTTAGATAACAGCAGGTTTCAGCAGAACTATAATAGTGTCATATAATTTCATAATGCTTTGAGTTCTGCTTTATAAATTAATGGAATATCAATAGCTGTGAATAAAAAAATATGCTAAAGGATTTAAAGCTAAAGGATCTTGTGTCCATGATGTTAAAAATCGCTCTGAGATCTCAGGTCGTTTTCTAAAAAGAATCATTGGTCAAATGGTTGAATTATTCAAATATAACTTGTTAATTCTTTCTTTGTCCAAGAACTCAGAGAACGATTTCTATCATCATAGACAGGAAGCTTAAAAGATCCTAACAATTTCAAAATACAAAATCTAACACTGGCCAATACTGAAAGATAGTGATTAATTTCTTATTTTAAGTATTAAAAACTTGATTGTTCAGTACTTTTAGTACTTCAAATTAGTAATTGATTACTGTCTTTTAGTATTAAATTAGTCCATATTAGATTTCATAAATGATTTTATAATTTTGTAAACGTGCTGCAGGAGAGGAGTCAATGTTGCAGAGCATGGATACTTTCTTATTAAAAATATCAAAACTTTTTTAGGGAACGAGAGATTTTTAAGTCTTTTTTATTTTTTTTTTTTAAATAAGATGTGTTTTTTATTTTCTAGTTGGGTACACACATCCGTGCCAAGAGGAAGCGAGAGGAGCTCGGAAATATTCTGGTACAGATGAGGAAAGCAGCTCATCATTAATTATATCCGTTAAAATTGTATAATTGTCAATAATTTATAACATTTATAATAGATTATACGTATTTTTTACAATAGATTATTGTTTTATATGTATTTTATAATTTGTATTTATAATTGTAAATTGAGAGAGAAACTTAGGACGAAACAATTAAAAATTATATTTTTGTCTTGCTTGGTTTAAATTTATAAAGAGTTAAATACTTTTTTAGATAAATTAAAAAATAAAGATACTTTATTTAACAATACAAAATTAAGAAATCTGTTTTCGATAGATGTTCGATTTCTGAAAATTAAACTATATAACAGATTAAAGACTAGTTTATTTTTTAAGATACAAAAATTTTTATATATTTAAATAATAATTGGCGTATATATGATACGAAGAAATAAATTGTTTCGCAGTACATTCAGTTATTATCCGTATTTTCTTCTTCCTTAGATAGAAGTTTAAATATTGTGATATACCAATGTGTATGTCTGTTTTCTCTTCAATTTTCTAAGTTTTCATTAAATTCAGATCAGTCATTCTGAACCACTAGAAGAGATCAACACTTCAGATGCCTCATCTGTGTATTCGTTTGCTTCGTCGTTGTTCTCGCTGAAGTCGGTGTTATGATCAGAAGTGTCAAGCTGATATAAGTTTTGTAATTCGATGACTATTTCCTCTTCGCTACTTTCACCCTGCATAACTTTCGTGGATGTACTCGGCTCATTATCAAAGTCATTATCTGCAGAAATCAATTTTATTTCGGATATTGACGATTCATTTTCGCATTCTATCGCTGCTTTGACATCCAGCGTGCTCAAATCCATGTCAATGTTGTTTTCATTGGAAGTAGAAGCGCTTTTCTCAGCTCTTCCTATTTATTAACAATGCTTCCGCGTAAGGTGATGCTATGGGAGCTTGCACTGATTCGTGGTACTTGTACTCCTTACCGTCGTACTGAGAATATTTACAAACAAGATAGAATGAGATATAATATAAATAAAATATATAAAGAAGAAAACGCAAAAGAATAACAATTTCCTTCTATCTTACTTTAATCATCTAATTGACAGTTAAACGAGAATATATGTCACACTCACATTTAGTGGATAGCTCATGTCAGAATCAAGCTGAGATCTCCACACACGACGAATGGAACGATAGTCTTATTAATTCTTATCAATTTATCAAAATCACATGACTCTTCCATCATCCAAGGATTCAACATATTTGGCTCGTAACCTTCTGGCTGGCTATAATCCTTACAGACTACAAATGCCTTGATGCTCAAGTTGCGGGAACTGCTGGGTTTTCTGCAATAGATGTAAGGAAAAAATATTCTCAGTTAAGCATATAAAAGCGACATGTCTTTGATGCGAAAGATCTTTGTAACAAATGTTCCTCCAGGTCTCAGGATGTACGTAGCTATGTTCAAAACAGTCAGTAGTAGCTGTGATTGAATTAATATTTTTCATATCATATAAACCCGTCACTACTACCAAAATAAAATTTATTAATTATTTCAGAAAATCTGTATACACTCTTAGCAAGAACAAAAAGTGATAAGACATGTACCATCAGGTGCTCCATCACACACAACTAAGTCTGTATGGGAGTTATCAAAGTGTGCAATGATCTGTTCTGCTGTGCTGCTGTTAATAATGTAATGCTGTTAATAATGCAGTTGAATAACTCCTTCCAAGGGTGCCATCGCTTGTAAATCAACTGAGACGATCTTTGGTTTAGATGCAGGACCTTTTTCTAAGGCTTTCTTATAGTTCTATCTACAAAACAGAAATATACAATTATTTTACAAATTAAGAACATTTTCTTATTATATTTATTATTATGTAGCATAGATTTTATTTAATATTTGAACTTTGATAAAGTTCACTTACATTAGCTTGCGAGCTAAGACCTGGCTCCAACTTCCAGGCGCAGCGCACAGATCCACTGCTTTGGATACTCCTGAAAGAGAAAAAATATTCTTCTCATGCAAACACTTCTGTCTCACATTTATTATTTATTATCGTTAATTTCTTACATTCATTTTTCGTTATCTAAATCATATGTAATCTTAGTTTATATGAAACAGCTAAGATAAAAAGTGATAATTAAAAAAAATAAGTTTATTAATTGCTGTTATACTCACTTCTTTCTTTGCCTTTCTATAATATATATCGCGCTTATCCTTTGAGATCTTCTCCATTTTCTATCAAAATTGAACTTCCTGTTGCACAAAAGTATCTGAAATTTTTTATATAAATTTAAAGCGCTTCAAGAATGCAAAATCTTGCCTCCTTTAACTTATGGCGCTCAATCCTAAAGTTTGTTTTCTATTCCTGCACGAGGGCTGCACTTGCACTAGAATTGAACTAAACTAGTGCAATCTAGAGGTCTGTTCGCGTTGCTTACACTTTTGGCACTCGACATCTTCGCTTTCTCTCTTTTCAAGGCCAAATATATATCTATCTCATTTTAAGTGCAAAAATATTTGGGGATTTCATGCAACGCGAACAGACCTTAGGAATTGACGAGTGTAAGCCTGCAGCAATAAATAAAAAACGTTCTAGTGCAAGATAAAAATGGCGACCCATATTGTTTACATGGAAGCATTAGATTCGTGTGATGAAAATGTAGGCAATCTCATTAAAAAAATTCTTAATTAAAGATAATGATAACACAAAATGTTTTTGTATGTAGGCTTGCTATCATTTATATATATTTATCATTTTATTACTCATAAATTCTCGAGTAATATAAATTTATTTAAAAGACGCCCCTGACCTTCAATTTCAATAAAATTATGCTCATTCGACGCGCTTTTGCATTCTCGTTCGGGCGGTCATTGAGGCTGCGTTTCGTTATTCACTGTCAGTACTGACAATATGACGTTATAAAGTAATACTGCAGAAGCGTTTTGAAATTACTAATAGTACTTTTATGACGTTACAACGTTGCATAACGAAACGGATTTAGTAGTACTTGGTAGGACTGTAGAAATAAATAATTTTTTAAATTTTGATAAAATTTGGAATTATTAATTATATTCATATCTTTGCGTGCTTTTTCTGCATCTACTTTATTCATTAATATGTCATAACTTTTTGACATTATCGTTTCGACATCTAAAAAACAAATTTTTTCCTGATTTCCCATTTCGTTGAATTTCGCCATCTTTTTACTGCGATTACCTGACCTCGCCAGTCGCAGTAATAGAAATAGGAAGTGACGCAAAAATTTATGACGTCATATAAACGCAAAAGTATATTGGAAGTTTACTGCGATATATTTTGGAATGGCATGTGCAATGCTGCCAGTACTGACAATGAATAATGGCTACGTTTACACCGTGCGTTTAGTCCGCGACCTATACGATAGGTGTCTTTGTTTAATATACAGGATAAACAAGGACGTCTATTGATAGGCCGCGGCCTAAATGCACGGTGTAAACGTAGCCAAAGAAACGCAGCCTGAGTATGGACATGCTTTACGCTTGCGCCGTACCAGTGTACTGTTTGAAAGTTCGTTTCGCGTTTTTAGCGTGCGTTATCGGCTTCCCTTTGCGGAAATCCTTTTTTTGAGTTCTTTTTCCTTTCCTTTTCTCTTATCTTAGCCTTCCCTTTTCTTCCTTTTACAATCCCGTAGCCGTGGTATGCGGGAGGACCCGCCTGCGGGTGCTTCGGTCCCGGACACGGGAGGTGAACGGTTACCGTGCTCGGTTGCGACAGTTAATTCTGCTGCGACCTCCGTTCCGCTTGATGAATTCAATGACTTTGTGAACAATGTTAGTAACTCTTCTAGAACCTCCTCACCTTTGAGATCTAAAGAGAATACGAGGTGTGATCAAAAAGTAAGGTGACTTTTTGAATTTCGCGCGCTCTGTACACTCTAATTTAAAAAATTTTTTTTTGTTGTGTTGGTACACTCGTTACGATCATATGTTCACAGTTTTGACTATATAGCATGTTTTGTTTTTATGTGAGAGGCATAAAGGTTAGACTCGTGTTTGCGTGCTCGGCGATTTTTTGCTTTTGAAAATAATGGAGCAGAGAGTTTGTATTAATTTTTGTGTAAAAAATGGTATTAAGTGTTCAAAAACTCTTGAAATGTTGACAGTGGCGTACGGTGAGTCAACTTTGAGCAAAAAAAATGTTTATAAATGGTATAAGTTATTCCAAGAGGGCCGAGAAAATGTTAACGATGAACCTCGCTCTGGACGCCCCAGCACGTCAAAAACCGACGAAAATGTTCAGGAAGTGAAAGAAATTGTGTTGAAAAATCGTCGAATCACGATTAGAGAAATAGTTGATGATCTTAACATATCGTTTGGCTCATGCCAATCAATTTTAACGGATGTTTTGGGTATGACACGTGTGTCAGCGAAATTCGTTCCAAAACTGCTTAATTTGGATCAGAAGCAGTGTCGCATGAACATCGCCCAAGACATGTTGAACGACGTCAATGATGATCCTGATCTGCTCAAAAGGGTTATAACTGGTGACGAAACATACACAAGTGCATTGTATCAGAGGGGGATTATTTTGAAGGGGATAACATAATTTTGGATGAATAAATGAATATTTTTTTATAAAAATGAAAAGTCACCTTACTTTTTGATCACACCTCGTACAGTGGCGCAATACTTAGAGATGTTGCCTTCCAAACCCTCGTCTGGGATGGCGCGCAAGAATAAGAACAAAAAAGATAAAAATCCCAATAAAGATCATAAATCTGAAATATCTGCGGTTTCTGACAAATCTCCTGTAAATTAGATCGTCTTTCCGCTCGATACTATGGCTACGGTTACACCGTACGACTGATAG